TACCTTGAGAAGGTTGGGTTGAGAGCAGTGTTTTTTTCTTGTTTGTTTCAGTAGTACGAAGGGTTGGACTGAACAGATTATCTGTATGATATTGAGCTAGGGAAGGATCTCTTAAACAAGATGCTAAAAATAAACTATGAATCAATTTGACTCCATTAATATTAGTTATTTTTGCTCACTAAAGGTTCCAGAAGAGGAAATAAGGAGCCAGGCTGGGATCTCAGAGATCTCTTATCATACACAGAATTGACAAGGGATGTGTATCTGGAATATATAAAGAAACGCCCAAGAATCAACAAGAAGAAGGCTACCAGCCAACAGGAAGAAGGAGAGAAGACCTCAGCAGGCCATTTGCCAGATGGAGGATGCAAGTGACTGTCCCCATGCGGTGGTTTCTGGCTGCAGCAGCAGCAGCAGCGGCAGCACCCTTCCCCCCAGCCTGGCTCAGTTCCCTGCTCTTCCTTGCGTGACCTCACGGGGTCCTGACCCTGTACTGTCCACACCAAGTGCAGAAGGAGAAGTGGTCAGCTAGAGACCACAGCAACACTGGGATCAGAACCCTGGTCTGTGGCTCTGGGGTTACAGATCCCACATCACACATAGGGAAATGAGTCAGCTTATCTGCTGGGCTCTTCCCTCTGGGGTTCCCCTTCAGGTTTCAGTTCTGCCTGCCTGAGGCCTTCAGAGGGCAGAGGAGCTGGTTGGGAGTGAGCAGCCATTCCTAGGAACTAGTTCTGTTTGGGACAGCTAGGGACAAGGTTCTTTGGTTCCTTCTCCATTCTCCAGCCACCAGAGCAATTTTGGGGGTGCATGTGCATCGGCCTCCCTACGTGGAGCTTCCTGGAAAAGTGTGGTCAGGAATCTCTTTCCCTCCTCCAGCAGCCCCACCACTGGGGGTTGGGAGGGGATCCAGAGATGGCCAGGCACCCCCACACCAGGCAGTAGCAAAATCCAAAGCAGGCAGTGGCTTCCCAGGGGCACTTCAGCTCTGACACTATGGTGTGATCCACCACCCCCTAACTTCCTCTCTCCTACAACACCCAGTGCTTTTGCTACATGGAATCTCTTATTCCAAAGATGTACATCATAGGCCTTTCCCCATCCTGTCCCCTGGCCAGAGGTGGCCCTGAGCTCCTACTTCCCTCCTTCTGGAAGCCTCCCAGTCTACTGCCTCCAACCCCCAGCCTAATGTCACTGCCTGCCTCAGCTCCCTGCCCTCCCCGCTCCTTTTTTTTTTTTTTTTTTTTTTTTTTGAGACAGGGTCTCACTATCTAATGCAGGCTGGCCTTGAATACACTATGAAGCCCATACTTCAACCCATGATCCTTCTGCCTCAGCCTCCCAAATGCTAGGACCCCCTTTTGTGCCAGCTTTCACCAGTCAGGGCTTAGATCTGTTACCACCCTACCTCCAGCATTGGATTCACAATCAGGTTACTGTCAATGCTACACAAAAGACACAGTAGCACAGTCCCTGCCCCAACCCCATTGTCCACCCCCACAAACACTCCCTAAGAGCACTGGAAGGACCTGGCATCGCCTCATGCTAGGGCTGTAATTCAGAGGCCAAGTCTGTGAAGGGTGGGAATTGTGAGACAGGTTGAATGCAGGAGCTGGCAGGTACTGCTTTATGGGAAGCACAGATCCCTGGGAGAATATTAGTGAACAAGGCACAGTGACAAGAAGGGTTTGGCCAACAGGCCTCTAGTGTGAAACCCCTGGCTTCCCTGTTCACCTTCCACACAGTATGCCCCATGTCCAGAGTGGTGCCCATATTACCCTGGGCCTTACAGCTAGGTTACCAATGGTGTCCCAAGGGTGGGAGCCCCTTCCGTGGCTGTGGCCTCCAGAAAAGCTGTCCCTGATACCCTCTCCATATCACCTAGAAGTACACATCTTTACAGCACCAAAACAAGGAGAGCAAGCGATCAGTCTCCTGACTCCCCCCAGAGACTGGGTTTTCCCATTGTGCTGAGAACACCAGGCTGGATTGGGAAAGCCAGACTTCCCCCCAACTCCTGACAGGGATAGAGCAGAGGCCCAATCTGCCCACTGGGCTAGGGTCAGGGAAAGACAGCTGTGAAACTTATATAAGACTAGAATGTGATCTAGGGTCTCAACACATAAGAACTTAAATGTTTAAGAGCCAATAAAAAAAAATCACCTGTCACAGCAAGAAGCAAAAAAATCTCAACTAGTATGAGAAAATATTAACAGAAGCCAATGCTGATACATCAATATTGGTGTGATCTGATTTAAAAATAGTCATCACAAAAGATGCTTTGAAGCTGGGTGTTAAGGACACATGCCTGTAATCCTAGCACTCTGGGAGGCTGAGGCAGGAGGGCCCCAAGTTCGAGCCCAGACTGGGCAACTTAGCAACTTAGCAAGAGTCTATCTTAAAGAAAAAAAAATTAAAAGGAGTGGGGATGTATGACAGCCCTGGGTTTAGTCACCAATATAAATAAAATAAAATAAATCCTTATACTGATTAATATGATTCAAACACATGAAAATATGGAAAGTCTTAGCCAGGAAATAAAGAATAACCAAAATAACATCTTAAATTTTAAATATAATAACAGGAATAAGAAACTCAGTGGATGGCTCCAAAGAAGAAGAGAGGGGACAGAGGAAAAATCCAATGAGTCTGAAGATAAAAATTACACAGTCTGAAAAAATGGACTGAGGGGAAACAAACAGTACCTCAAAGACCTCTGGAATATAACAAAATAATGACTAAGAATCCCCAAAACTTGGCAAAAGACAATCCTACAGATTCAAGAAGCTTAATGAACCCCAAACAATATAAGCAGAAAGAAATCTACATCAAAACATCATAGTCTAAAAACTGAAAAACAACAATCTTGAAAACAGCCACAGAGAATTATCACTTTCCTTTCCTACAGAAGAAAACAACTCACATAGGTATGGATTTACCATCAGAAATCGTGGAAGCCAGAAAGAAGCAGAAAATATTTTAAAGTGCTGAAGGAAAATGCCTGGCAACCATGTTTTATACCCAGTGAAACTATCTGCCAGGAATGGGAGGAGACCTAAACATTCCCAAGAAAAGGTAAAGTGAGAGTCTGCCACCTGCAAGACCTCTCTCCCTCTCCTTTCCTCCTTCCCTCCCTCACTCCCTGCCCCACCCCCTCTGGCTAAGGGAAGTTCTCTATTCAGAAAGCAAATCATGAAAGGATCTCAGGATATCTGGGAGAAAGGACAAGATCAAGAGTAGGACTGAATAAATACAATACACCTCTTCCCTTGGATTTTGTAAACAACATTTGATGGTTGAAGTAAAATTTATAACACTGTCTGCTGTTTCAATGAATGAGAAAATATTTAAGATAATTATACTATAAATGGGAGAGGGGAAGGGGCATAGAGGCTAGATTTCTACAAATTTATAATCTAGTACTTAGAATAACCACTAGAAATATATACTAAGGGATACACTAAAAAACACTGCTAATAAACCAAAATGAAATGTTCAATATATGTGTAACACACGGGATGGCAGAAAAAGGAAAAAGAGAAACAACAAACCAGAAACAAAGCAAAAACTAAAATGGTAGGCAAGGCACATCCATGTCAATAATTACAGAAAATATACACTGTATGGTTTCATTTATGTAACATATTGAAAATGACAAATTATAGAGATGGAGAACAGATTGGTGGTTACCAAGGTGCTCTAGTTTGGATATGTTTTTGGTGCACCCCCCAAAGTCTGTGTGTTGAAATTTAAATTTCACTGTAAGGCGGTGAGAAGGTGGGAACTTAATCCAACTATGGTGTTTAGAGGTGGAGACTCTGGGAGGTGACCGGGATTGGATAGGGCATCAAGGAGAAGCCCCCAGGACTGAATCCTGTGGCTGCACAAGGAGAGGAAGAGACTGGCATGCATGCACGAGCACATGCACACACACACACACACACACACACACACATGCGCGCGCGCACACACCCTGCTTTTTGCCACATAATGCCCTTGACCTGGGACCTTCAGAGCCATGAGCCAACATAGGTCTCTTCGCTCTATAACTCAACCAGTCTGCAGTCATTTATTACTGGAACAGGAATCAGACTGGTCATTAGGCCAGGACTGGTTGTGGTAATAACGGGGTCTCTGGTGAAGAGTGCTGTAACTTGTACCTTGATCTTGACGACAGCTGCACAAACCCACACACCTGGTAAAATAACACAGAACCAGAAGCTCTCAGTATACCAGTGTCAATGTCCTGGCTTTGATGCAATATAAGATATGACCTGGGGAAACCTATCTTTCTGGGACTCTACAATTACAACAATTATTTCAAAATAGAAAATCATAAAAAAACACCTCAGCTGTTGCTTTGACACTAGGCCCGGCTCTCTGCTGGCACAGCCTCTTGGGCAGAGCTTGCCCCTGTGTGTTGCCAGAGCTCCTAGGCCACCAGGGCTGCTGGGGTGCCCCTCAGCAGAAACTGCCATGGGAGCCCAGCACATTCCCTTTCTGGCTTCCTCGGCTCATGCCCTTCTTCCCCGGGAACTCAGCCCTCATTGCAGGGTAAAACTACCCCACTTGTTTCCCTGCTGAGGCTCACTATGGCAGTCTCCTCATATTTTCTCCACCCATCACCCCAAAATGGTAACCTCATGAGACGGGGACCCCATCCTTCTTATGGGGAGCACAGCATGTGAACAGCCTGGGCATCTGAAAGGGTCTGTGCAGTGTTTTCCGACATCTGTGGCTGCCTATGGGTTCACCTTGGTGGACAAATAGCTGGGCATCACCTGGCATGGCTCCTGGTGCAGCTGGGAAGACTCCCTGGGGCTGGGTCTGCTCAGGCCCCCATGTGTGTGTGTGGCCTTTCTACACTACTTCCCCAGCCCAGTGGCTTCAGACAGCATGACTTGGGACAGGAGTTCAGGGCTTAGAGGAGGACAGAGGGGAGGGAGGGAGTCAGGTGGAAGGTCCGGGGGGCAGGGCCAAACCCTGCTTGCCCATCTTACCTGCGACGTAATGTAGAGAGGGAGAGACGGAAAATCAGGGTTTCCAGAGGGCATTTCCTGCTCCCTATCCCCCTCCAGGGAGGCCTCCACTGAAGGAATGGCTAGTCTCATCCGAAGTCCCTCTGGGTTCCCTTCTGATGTGACTACTCCATCCTCTGGGGGGCTCACAAGGCAAATCATGCAGGCTCTAGGAGTGCTCAGAACCAGAGAGGACCTGTGGAGTGCCAGCCTGTGCTACGCTCTCTGAGGTACAACCACCAGCGGTAGGGGAGTAGCTCTGACGGTCCACTTCCCAGATGTGGAAACGGAGGCATAAAGACGTCCCACGCCCCAGGAGATGTGCTGTGACACAGCAAGGGGCACAGAAGGCCTCCTCCCTGTCCCAGCCCCACTTCCTGTCCCACAGTGTGGCATCAGGCATGCTTCTGAGAGTTCCCTAATCCACTATGAGTGTGCAGGGTGTTTGACCTCTGCCTTGGACCCGCTTCCTTCCTGAGGTCCTCCTGCTGACCTCGGCTGCCTGGAGCAGTGCTCCTTCTTATGGGAAGCTGCCCGCCCGTAGCACTGACTCCTCATCCATACCTGGCACAGCCAGTGCTGTGGGCACCTGCTGGGCCAGGCCAGCCTTTGGGCCATGGGCTGAGACAGCAGAGAGAGGCGGGG